CCCATTGATGCTGCCCACAATACCAGGAATGCCAGATGCCCGGCGCCATGTCTTTACTGCTGAGTTATCAAGTGGTTACTATAGAAACTTGCCTAGATTTTGACTTTACGCCTGCTACTGACTAGGCGTAAGATTTACGCCCAGTCTTAGCGAGAAGAGGACTTAAGCCTGGATGGTGCAACTGTCGTAACTATTAGGTCGGAATACTGAGTTAAGACCTACTTTACCATAAGACCAGGTGTAAGCCCTGTTGGTGCAACCGGCTGGGAATCAGTATGAAAGAGAATCTGACATAGGGTGCTTCTCAAGTCTCTTATTTGTCGTTTCCTCACTTGAACCGGAAGTTGTTCCGCTCCGCCATCTTGCAGGCCGTCCCAAAGCTCTTATTTGCGCTCCAAGGATCGAGGAGCGATCTCTGAGGAGCTATGAGCGAGGAGACACCAGTGCATCCTTCGCGGAAGTCTTTTAATGACCGACACGCCCCCTTATTGGGTAGCCGTTATGTTGATTGGACGCTGCTTCTGATCGGACTATTCTGATGCATCAGGACATATAACATTAAACTCAAGTGTGTCGCTGCAAAGTCTTATATTTGAGTTGTTATGATTGTTAAAATCGGTGTTCATTGTAGGTCTGAACAACAAAAGCCCACAACACACAAGCAGTGGCAGCAGCGTACCAGATGGTGATGGAGGAGGTGAGGATAGACTCAATGATGGCGGTGTAGAAGTGCACCATCATTGTCTTTGGCAGGCTGAACTTCTTCAGCTGCCACAGGAAGTACATCCTCTGCTGGGCCTTCTTGGTGAGGGAGGTGATGTTCAGCTTCCACTTGAGGTCCTGGGAGATGATGGTGCCCAGGAAGCGGAAGGAGTCCACAGTGGTGACTGAGGAGTCACACAGGATGATTGGGGAGGGAGTTCACGACCATCTCCACTGTCTTCAGAGCGTTGAGCTCCAGACTGTTCTGGCTGCACCAGGTCACCAGATGGTCAATCTCCCACTTGTAGGCAGACTCATCCCCACCAGAGATGAGCCCAATGAGGGTGGTGTCATCCGCAAACTTCAGGAGCTTGACAGACTGGTCATTGGAGGTGCAGCTGTTGGTGTACAGGGAGAAGAGAAGGGGGTAAAGAACGCAGCTCCAGACAGAAGTGGCGTCGTTTGCAGAGAGCTGGTTCTTTAGTCTCTCTGCGTACAGTCGTTCAGCTTCTCGCACCTCCTTGCTAAACCTGTACTTTAACGCCCTGCACACGGCCCTGTCATCCACTCATAAATGCCTCCTACTTTTCCAATCTTAGCTGTCTGAGTTTAGCTGTGAACCAGGGTTTGTCATTGTTATAACTCACCCTGGTCCGTGTTGGAATGCAGCTTGCCTCACAGAAGCTGATGTAGGACGTCACAGCCTCTGTAAACTCATCCAGATTGTTGGTAGCAGTCCTGAAAACATCCCAGTCAGTACAGTCCAAACATGCCTGAAGATCCTCAACAGCTTCACTAGTCCACTTCTTTGATGTCCTCACTACAGGTTTATAAAGCTTTAATTTTTGCCTGTAAGCAGGAATCAGATGGACCATCACGTGATCAGAGTGTCCCAGTGGAGCGCGTGTGACGGCGTGATAGGCACTGCTAACTGTGGTGTAGCAGTGATCCAAAGTGTTCCCCTCTCTGGTTGGACACTTTATAAACTGTCTGTATTTGGGGAGTTCTTGGCTGAGATGTCCCCTGTTAAAGTCACCGAGAACAATAACAAGGGAATGCACGTTGGAGAGAAATATTGCCGGTAGCGGTGTGCGGAGTCCTCGCCGGTGAAGACGCACGAGCGACCCGGCTCTTTTCCCACTCCTGTGGCTCTTCACATTGCGAACTACAGCGAGCGAGGCCTTCACCAAAATGTCCAATAATTCCACTGATGACGGAAGAAAAGTAGGAATTAAATTCGCTGGAGTTGTTCCCCTGATGTTCATGAGCTCCTCCCTGGTGAAAGAGCACCGGGAATCACAGCCGAAAACTGTATTAACACACAAAAACAAAACAAAATAAAACGCACCTAAGCTATACTCAGCGCCATCTTGGAAACTTGGTTGTTTAAATAATTAATGTCTTTGCTCCTACGGAAGCCCGTTTTCATGTGATTGTGACTTATCAAAAGTGTCACAAGCTGCAGGTGGTTCTGTGCTGTCATGAACATCATGTAGCTTAACCATAAAATGTTCTCTTTGTGAATGATATCTTACATTTTTCTTCACTGCTGTTCACTTTCTCTGCCCTGGTGTCCCCAGCTGGTCCTCAAACTCATAAACCTTCAATTTCCAGCTTTTCTTGTCCAGTGTTCCAAGCTCATAGTGACCTCACATTCTTAACAGTTATAGGCTGACTGAAGCTGAGGTAACCTTTCCAGCTCTGGTGGCAGCTTACCATAGATTACATGGTTGTTTGACATTTGTAACACCACTGTGCAACAAATTGGTCTTGTTTGTGCACATATTGACTGTAAAATCTTTATTATGCATTTAATTATTACTGTTTTGTCATGGCTCAATAAGAGAATTTGTGGTAGATTTTGCTTGTATTAAAGAGGTGATTTAACTTGTTTTCTTGTTTGTTTTTGCACTCAACATTCAAGTGTAAAGCAAAGCATGTAAATGAATTATTGATGGATGATCCCTTTCTCAAGGCTGTTTTACTCTGTCTGGCCCTTCTTCTTATACCTAAAATGTAATCCCTCCTGCACCCTTCACAAATCTCAACAGAGCAGTCGCTGTTTAGAGAACTACAGAACATTCCACAGCAAGCAATCAATATCCCCCCCCCCAACAGAGCGTAGAGGTGGCGACATCAATTACCGTTTGGATCAAGTTAATAAAGTAACGTCCTTTCCGAAATGGAGTTGGCCTCGTTGTCATTATGTACAGGAAATAAGTTCTACATTAAAATAAGGGAACATTGGGACTGTTCCTACCTAATGTACAACCAGAGCACACAATTTTAATTACATGTAATACCTGTCATACCAGTTAACCAGTAAGTCAGTCAATAACTGACTATGAACTCTGAAGTGTATTCGTACCTTATCTGCTCTTCTGAGATTACTGTGGTAAAAGGTGAAAACTGAACCCTTTAAAAGTACTTTAATTTCAAAAGCCCTAAATTAAAGTAAAATAAATTAAGTATATTTTAAGGAGTGCACAGCTTTCAGGTACCCCTCCTTTTAATGCATTATGTTCACAATGAAGATGCTAACAAGCTAATGTTTAGTAGGTATAATATTTACCATGTTCAAATGTAAATTTTCTGTGTTAGTATGTTACTATGCTCATTTTCAGGTTCAAAATCTTATTTAGGGGTTGTACCAGAATAGGTTTACATGGTTTAATTTTCAAAAAACATTTTTTTCATTCTGCACATTGCTGCAGCTCCTCTTTTCACCCTGTGTTGAACGCTTCGGTTCAGCTGTGCATGTTGCCAACCAGCTTAGCAACATGGATTAGAGTAAAAGTTTCAGAGTGGTGAGTTATTAATCTGTAACAAAAGTATTGTTCATCCATAAAGTTTTAACTGAGCTCTGTCTCTACATCACAGTAACAACTTTATGTCCATTGACTGCCGCTTGGCGAGCGTTAAATGATTAGCTTAAAGGGAAACGTCTGGACTACAAACGAGTTGTTTTCAGACAGTTTAGAGCAGAGTTTTCTGTGGGAGATGGGAACTCCCTTTGGGCCGGACCTTGGGCTTATTCACTTTGCAAACCTAGTACATGCACAAAAAAGGTATATAACTCAATAAAGGAGAGGGGAAAAGCCAAGAAAAGTTTGAAATCAATAGTTCTCTCTTTCAGTTGAAGGATCCTGGCTCACAGATTCAGCAGTAATTAGTAGAAATTCGATTTATTTCAGCTTTTAGCAATAAATATTTTCTATTAGACCTTCTCTCTAAAGGAACACAACTTCAGTTTGTTAGATTGTGTTTCAGTACATTTTCCTTTCTGTTTGTGCTGCTTTGTTTGTACTATATTGGTAATGTAGATATCTGTATATTCTGAAAGATTTGACATTGGCAGGTGTTAGCGTTATAGTACCCTTGAGTTTTCTCAGCCCCCAAGTGTTGTGAGTAAGTACGCTGCGGGTCGTAGGGGATTTCAAAAAGGGAGCTGACAGCAAACACGAACCCTTTTTAAAAAGCAGAAATGGGATTGATTCCTGCACTCTTGTTGCTTAGCAACTACAAGCCTTGTTGAGAGAGAATATTGACCTCTTGTTGATAAAGTCCAATTACATTTTTTCCCCACTCTGTATATCCAGAGATTTTACAATGGCATATTCTGTCACCCCTGTGTATTGTTCATTCAGTATCATAGAAAAATGTAATACTGTGATTGTCACCTGTTGGTGCACCCTGTGAGTTAGAATGTTTTTCAAAGGGATAACACAACTTCCATAGTCTGAATTGACTTAACAAGGGCACTCAATGGGACCTGCTAGTTTTTGTTACTAACTTAGTCATTTGTAATGTTTTTAGACCCTCTTCATGGTAAATGGCCAGACAATTTCTCCTCTGAATGTATGCTGTAAAATGAAAACGGATTTCTAAATTTCATTAAAATTCTCTCCTTCTCATCTTTTATGCACTTTCTTTAAAAAAACGTAATTTCTTAGGTGGCTGCATGCTGTAATTGCAATTTGTCAAGTGCTAATTGCTTTGTTCTTTCTGACAGGTGTGGGTATGAATGAGCTTTGCTGTGATAAGTTTGTATTAAGTTACTGCTTGTTTTAACTGTGGATTGTAACAATAGGTCATGTGCTGGTTAAATGCAGCCACCTTTTGGGTTGAGAAGTCAGTTTACTGGAAAACACATTGAGCTCCTTGATGAAGTGCCATCATGTAGGAATCTTACATCCCCACCACCTTCGGCAAATAAAACTGATCTATTAGAAAATGTTTGAGATATTGTCTTGATGATAAGGAAGATTTAGCTTTACTTCTCACTTTACTTTCCTTAGAACACATCTGCTCCATCATTGCCTCTATGCTGAGAAATCTCAAGTCCCAACAGAGAAGCAGACTCCTCAACAAGTTCACAGAGAATGACTGTGAGAAGGTAAGTTTTCATCATCTTCTTGCGGCTTTCCTCTTTTGCCCTTCTCCTTCCTTCACACTTCTTTTGTTGTATCTCTTGTTTTTGATTGGCAGCAGATTGCTTCATCAGGATGCTGAAGTGTTTGTGTGTCTAACATCAATCTGCAGGTCCGTGAATCAGAACAGGTCCCACATTTCGTTTTCTGAATTGAAATGCCCTGTTAACATATTTTCTCAGTCAGCTTTAGTTTGTTGGAGCAGTTGAGGTTATTTCACACAGAGATAAATTTTTTTCACTAATGAGCAACATTTGAATCAAAATGCGTTGACAGTTGTCGGTTCCTCCATATCGGGAGGAAATCCACAATCTTGCAGAGTGGTGCAACGTCTGATCTACTGGGATTTTCACACACAACCATCTCTAGGGTTTACAGAGAATGGTCCCAAAGGAGAAAATATGAGCAGCAGTTGTGTGGACGAAAATGCCTTGTTGATGTCAGGAGAATGGGTAGACTGGTTTGAGATGACAGAAAGGCAACAGTAAGTCAGATAACGTCGTTACAACCAAAGTTCACTCATGCTCACCAAAATTGTACAATAGAATATTGGAAACACGTTGCCTAGCCTGATTAGTCTCCATTTCAGCTGCGACATTCAGATGGTAGTGTCAGAATTTGGCGTAAACTACATCTAAGCATGTATCCATCCTGCTCTGTATCAATGTTTCAGGCTGCTGGTGGTAGTGTAATGGTTTGGGGGATATTTTCTTGGCACGCTTTGGGCCCCTTAGAAGGTGATAAAATATCAAACCTGATGCCCTAGCTGCATTTTGTTCTGTCACTCCTACATCTCCCCTCACATATGCAAAAATGAATTCATAGTCAGTGTGTTGCTCACTGTAGGACGCATGACTTTTCATTTAGAAACACTTGTTGGGCAAATCAAACATGGATGTCTTCTTCACCACTAAGCCATCCTAGAGTCTCAAGTCCATTATTCACTTCCTTCGTTATTTGTTCCTTTTTACAGGGATGTTTTAGTGTCTATTTGTTAATACATCAAATTAGAAACTTAAACAATTGCTTGTCTTTGTTTTCCTCTTTATAAACCCTCCCTGTAACAATGTATGAGGTTGGCTCCACAAACATTAAAATATGGGGAGTGGACAATGCATGTGTATAACTAAATCACATTAATAAAATTATTATGGGTGTTATAAATTTAAACCAAATGGTATTTTTCTGTATTGGCCTTCCGAGTCTCATCTTGTTTTGTCTCTTATTTGTGCTTTGTCCTTTTCCCTTCTTGTTATCCGTGTGTTCTTGTTGCGTTCTTGTATGCTGCATCTCTCACTCTCTCTGCCTCTATCTCTCCAGGTTGATCGACTGATGGAGTTGCATTTTAAGTACCTGGAGGCTGTTCAGCAGGCTGACAAGAGGATCGAAGGAGAGAAACATGTAAGCATCTCTCTTTTGCATTACTCCCGCTCATTATCTCACCCTCTCAATCTGTCCCCTCCGTCCTCCGCTGTGCTGTCTCGTTTATACCGGCTTTTCGTTAAGCAGCTTGCTGGATGGATGTATTCACATTAAACACTGACATGTTATGCATTATTTTGTTGACCACAAAGGAAATGCCATCAAGGAGTTATGTCTGACCAACACGTTATTAGAAGTAGTGATTTTTTGGTATTTTTTTATGAATGTATGAACCCAAACTGACTAGCTGTTTGATCAAGTTTGATCCTGAACTGATTGTAGCCTGAGGAATCTTTGTCCAAATCTGAAATGAAACCGACCGCCGCAAGCAATATCCCAGACCAGTGGTCTCATTTATAAAACTGTGCCCAGAAACCTCACAAGTGTACATGCGCCCTACGGCAAAAAATATTTAGACTTATAAAACTGTGCGTACGCACACTTGTAAGCAAGTTCCCTTTATAAATCACAGTCAACTTGAAATGTGGCGCATGTGAGGGAGCTCCGACCCTCCAAACGCCCATAGTTGCCTATAAATGGTCAGTGAAATGCCCCTCATTAATATTAGTACGAACTGGAACAGGAAGAAAAGGAGGCAAATTCTGACAGAGAAACTACAAAACGAAATTTAATTCAATTTTGGTTAAGCTGAAGCATGTTTGGTGGGTAAAAAACGCACTTTCATGCAACACTTGTGCACCGAAGGAAAGGGGGAACCGGAGCTCCACCCCTTTATAACCGATCTGCAGGAACGGGCATTCCTCTTGATTAGTGACGTCACTGACTGGAGGGGGAGCCACACACGCAAGACGGGACGACCCGGGTACTAATCTGGATTCCCCCGTTTGAAGAGAGAGTAAACCAAATGCATTCCACCTGTGTTTAAACATGTAGTTAGGCTATACAAACAGTCCACTCACTAAACAACGCTGGCGATGAGTTAAAAGAAATAGCCTGTGACTTGTTGTAAATGACAATAAAATAGTTATTTTTTCATAACTTATTTTTACAAGCAGCACATCACATCCACACGCTGGCGCACAGCGTTTGGCTCAAAAAGGAAACGAACATGTGATAACAATACGTGAAACTATGCTCTCATATTTGCTCAACTGACACACTTAAAACTGTTTCAGTTTAAATGTAATTTGTTTTCCTGTTCAACTTATTTATGAGAATAAATTTCAATGCATGCAAGTATTAATTAATATGATTCCTGATTAAACTGTACAACATATTTGAGGTGTTCTTTTGCAGAAACAGATATCTCTATTTGTGTTTATTATCCTCAATCATGGTTGTTTTTGTGCACCGTAGATTATTTTAAATTATGGGTTTTTTTTGCACACTTCAGGGAAAATCAATCAAACGAGTGTCTGTTTATTCAGAAAGGCTTTAAGCCTATACTACTCAGAGGTAATATTTGGATTTATTTTACACAGTAGTAGGCCTATTCATTTCAAACAGTTTCATCCTTCTGCCATGTGAGTCACCGTTTCTCATTTCTCTTCTTTATGTGCGTATGCATGGTTCAGAGTTTACTTATGAACTACATTCTCCCGTCAAATTTGTTTTTTATAGATCACAACCTTTGCTTGGGAAGTGGCGTACGCACATTTCTAGCCCTGTTGTGTACGTACGCACCATTTATAAATGACCTGTAAAAGCATTAATAGTAGTATTAATAATGACAGGCCGTGTTAACCTAATGACTGTCATTGATCATCAGAATCAATCAGCTCCTTCTAAAAACGAATCCAAATTTAAGTTTATATTCCACTTGAGTGAATTCCTTAATAAGGCAGTGCCAGAAAACATTACAACTGCGACTAATCTTAATAAACCTTGCATATTAATGTGTTGTTTTGACTCGCTCCAGTTCCTTTGTTGTTTTTGTGCAGTGACAAGTGTCATTAAACACTATACCTTTACAGTGAAGTAAAACCAGACCAATCATTTTGACAAAACTCTTCCAGTGGTTGTGTGTCTGTCTGGCAGAGGTCTTTACTGTGAATGTGTTAGAGTGGGCTTCAGGTACACATGTAGCTGAAGCTTATATCCTGATTAGGGAAGCAAAATGTGGGAGGAGACAATAGACGTTTATAGAAATGTCCCCTGCAGCTGATGTATCACCGTTGACCACTGTGGCAGAGGAAACTGTTTTTTTTTTCATGTCTGGGGAAAGCAGATGTAAATTGTATGTGCATATCTGACACATACAGAAGGTGAGAAGCTCTGCACCACAACACAAGACAAAAGAACAGCATTGCAATAGACTTATCTTTCACTCAACTTCACCTTTCTCCTGTTTCCAGTAGGTTCCTCCTACCTATTTTTCCTGACTTTTAATGGCTTATAGCAGCTTCAGTCCAGTAAGATAAGATCATAATATTTTTTAAGTAGGCTGTTAAATTTTCTGTTTACAAAAATAATCTAGTTGAAGGAGTCAGTTTCACCAGTAATTTCCCGCAGATTTTTTATAACTTATTCAATAATTGATCTTTTTGTTGAGTTAACAACACCCAGCTACTTACTTGTTGAAAATGTGTTCTCTCCAAGTTCAGCAGTAGAAAACCCTTTCTTTTGCACTGTATTACTTTCCAACACATTGCACATGAAAACATTTTTAATTCCTATCTTCTTTAGCTGAACTTCAGCTCATTTACAATTGCAGTCTTTCATTGCAGAAAGTTGCCCGAAACATTTAAAAATTGTGGTCATAATTTTTATCAGGCAGTATTGCTGAGCAGTTAGCAGCTTATCACAAAGTCTTTGCTGGTTTTCCTCTTAACGGTTTAAATATGGTAATATTCAGCTTCACTTCAGGAGACTGAGATCGTCAGAAACCGGTCTGTCAATTATTTAATAAGTTGCCTTGGTCCTCACTATATTACTCAAATGTCCCAAGTTTGTATATTCTCAGAGCGTGTCCTGGGTCTAGTTTTTCTATTAAACCATTTTTTAAAACCTCATCTCAACCTGCTGAGGAACAAATACAACAGAACGATAACCTTCCATTACAATTGTCTAGAGACAGATAAAACATGGACTCCAGTGCAATCCCATCACACATTTATGGTTGTCTTTATCGGCAACTTGATAAAAAATAATTCAAATTGCATTCTAGATATTCAGATACTAAACACAATCCCTTTTATAAAGGGTTGGGAAGTTTGATCAAAATGTTGCCTCTCTTTGGTAGATAACGTGCAGTTCCACATAGTGTCACATTCAAAGCCATGAGGGAAGAGACCCAAAAGAACATCACAATCCTGCTGATAACAATTTGACAGTTTACAGAGGAATAGAAGGCCTGATAGCTGTGTGTGAGGGCCCTATTGAGCTGTGTGTGTGTGCGCGCGTGTGCATGTCAGTGTGTTGAACTGTGGGCTAGACAGACCGATTGAGGGATACAGATAAGAAGATAAGTGGCCTGGCAGGGGATAATGGCTTCAACAGAGAAAGAGAATCTGGTCCTCAAAAAGGGAGTATGTTGAATGGAAAAAGGCAGGTAAAAATACTGTAAATATTAGAACAGGAAGCAGAGTTAAAAGAAGAGCAGTGGACAGTTAAAAATGGGAAATGCAGGGAAAAGGAGCAGAAGAAGGACGAGAGAAGGGATTTGAGTGAAAGACGGACTGATGAAGGTGAGGGAGGTTTGGGTGAGATTCCAATCTAAAGATGACAGAAGATTAATTTCTCAGACAGACATTGTGGTAGGATTGCCAAGAAATTGCCAGACAGTTTGACATTTTCTCTCCCCTCTCTTTCTCCTTTTCCATCTCCCTTTCTTCTTCTGTCACTCTTCTGTCTCTTCCTCGGGGATGGCGAATGTATGACTTTGTGATACCCTGGTGATAAAAAACCTTGTCTACGTGTGCCACTATCTTTGAAGCCACGCTGTAAGCCTTCCCTAGTTCAGAGCCATGCTGTGAGCCAGACTCACATAAGGCAGAAAGTGAAAAATATGTATTTGTGGCACAGCAACAATATTCTATTCATTATTTAAAAACACATTTAAAGGGCTGCTGTAATAGTTGAAAATCTTATTTATCATTCTACTACTGACTGCTTTGCTGACAAGACTGCGCATTGTTGAACTTTCTCTGACCGCTAGTAGTTTGAAAGGTTTAATGAGTATGAGCATGTATTATGTATTATTAGATTAGACACATCTTTTCTGATAAATGTTAGCATTTTAATATTACTTTCATAAGAATGTTGTTATGCTCATATTAGCAGTGAGCTCAAAGCACTTCTGTGCCAAAGTACACAGTGGCTTACATGGCTGCATGGCCATTACATTCATATCCGAGACATTATATTTATCATACTGTCCGCTACTTCAGCACCTCTTTTTGCCCTCTGTCTGAACTCTCAGTTTTAGCTCCTGTCTCTTTAAGGACCCCCTTCCTTTTTTTTTTTTTTTTTTTTTAAACCTGTCCTGCCCAGCAGCCTGGTATAGAGTATAATGACCTGGATACCATATTGTGCCAGACAGATTTTACTTTAACAAGAGAGTATTAAAATACTCCTTTGTCTGTTTTATTATTTATTTAATTATGTATTGATTTGTCACCGGGCCGGACAGGGGGGCAGACACGGGGATGGGGGGGCACAAACAGACAGCACAGAGAAAGGACAACACCTGCAAGAGAAGGGGGAAAGGGGGATGGAGGGTGGGGACAACAGGGAAAAGCTGTGGGAAACACCAATTGCAGAAAGCAACGAAACCTGCAAGAGAACAGAGAGGGGGGCTTGGGGAGGAGAAAAACAACAACAAACAAACACAAACAAAAAAAACAATAAATAATAATAATAGTAAAAGAAAACCAGCCGAACAGCAGCAATAAACAGCTGACATATTAATGACATATTAAGACAACTAAGAGAACAATGAAAACAAGAAACAGTCACACACACTAAATAAGCAACACAACACAGCCACGAGAGCTGGAATAATAATTAATTTAAATAAG